GTTTCATTCTGTTGTGCCTAGGGTTGCTATGAGTCGGTACCAACTCGATGGTACCTAACAACAACAACAACCAGAAATATGAGAAGGCTTCTTTTTCTATACTTGTTCTAACTCTATTGTCTTTAAGACAAACATTTTCCTGGAGTTCAAGAAAAACAGTATTTCCTTTTGAAATGTTAATTTTTGATTGTTAATGAAACTAATTTTTTAAAAACATGCTTTTTGCCTGACAATACTTAAGTTCATGTTGAAATTAAATGGAACTCTATGCTTTTACCTTTTTTATTTTCAATTGCATCTAATGGCACTTGCGGTTTTCCAATGTTCTCGTTCTCTGTGAAAGAATTCCTGCAAATGCAAAGCCAAACAACTCTGGATCAATGAAATGAACAAAATTCATGGAAATTGCATCTTACACTCTATCTTTTTTCCTGTGGGTGCTCAGTTATTTTGGTGAGCACAAAGAAACACTTTCTATATTTCATTCCTCAAATCTGGCAATTTAGTCCCAAAGGAGATGGGTGGAAATCTCATCATCTCTAATCAGCAGAAGCACATCTGAAGAAAACCAGGGCAAAAAAAGGTACTGTTTGGTACAAAACTAAGTAATCTCTGATAGACTGGGTCCAACAGAACTGATTCAGAAACACCCATTCTAACTAGAAAATGTTTGGCTGAAGTTACACAGTTTTGAAGCTAGAAGACTTGGAAACTCTGAGGCACAGTCTGAGAACATACATATAATCTATGAAACATAAAAACAGCATGCAAAAATTGACCATGGCTGGCCAAAGCTTTTGTCCTTGAGTTCTGATGAACAATACTGAAGAATAGCCATTAGTTATATCTTTGTGTATTTGCCTCAATTTCTCTGTTGCATAATTTTTCTAAATGTTTGGCCAGATTGCCCTTTACACTCACAAGTTTGATGCCAAAAGCATCTAAATTGCAGACTGAAAAATTGCTGGTCTTGATGATGCTGGCAGGGTTGGCCTAATTGTCCTTAAAAGGAACTTACTGGTGTTGCTGTGAATCTCCATTTCCACACCCGGCAAAATGGAGAGAACAGTATTTTCCTTGCTTGACAGGGATGGGAGGAGAATGAAATAAGATTTGCATTGTTGAATTGCATTGCATAAATATTTATTGTCCCAGATATTGTGCTGGGCACTATGGTAGAGAAGAGATGTATAAGACGCATTCCATTTCTTCTAAATATAAACACAGAAGGAAATGAAGAAGAGTCAGGGATTAAAAATAGTGCCAGGAGCATTGAACTTGTTAAGGGTGATGAAAAATGTGGAACTGGATAGTGGAAATAATTGCATAATACGAAGAACCTAAGTGTTGCTAGGTGTCTTCTGAAACACAGCAACCTTATGTACAGTGGAACAAAATGTTGCTTAGTCCAACTCCATCCACCCTCACAATTGTTGCTATGTTTAATTCCTTTGTTGCAGCCACTGGGTAGCTCATCTGGTTGAGGGTTTTCTCTTTTTCACTGATTCTCTACTCAGTATTATGTCCTTCTACAGGGATTGGTCCCTCCCAAGAACATGTCCAAACTCAGGAAGCCAAAGTCTCGCTATTCTCCCTTCTAAGAAGTATTCTAACTGTACTTCTTCCAAAACAGATTTGTTCATTATTCAACAGAAGTGTACATGATTGATGTTGCTAAATGACACAAGTAAAACTATTTTGTTATATATATATGTGTGTGTGAGTGTGTGTGTGTGTGTGTGTGTGTGTATGGATAACTACATACATATATGGATATATCAAGGTCCTGGTATGTCACTGTAGGAATAACACTGGATTGCTATCCAGAAGCCTGGTGGTTTAAACCCACCAGCTGCTCCTCAGACACCTTACACAGGGTCACTATGGGTCAGAATCAACTTCACAGCACATAACAACAACATAAGAATACATATGTATATATGTACACTTCTTGTGTTGTTAAGTACCATTGAGTCGGTTCTGATTCATAGTGACCGTCTACAGGGTTTCCAAGGTTTTAAATCTTTGTGGGAATAGAAAGTCTTATCATTCTCCCACAGAATGGCTGGTGGGCTTGAACTGCTTGACTTTGTGGTTCACAGTGCAGTGTTTATTCTATGGAGCCACCATGGTTCCCATATATGTACATAATCACTAAAACAAAAATAATGCTAATGTTTAAAAGTATGACAATTTAAATTTTATTTTTTATTTTCTTAGAGATACACAAAAAAGTAATTACAAATGAGAAACAAACATATGTAGGACTTATATTTAAATGCTTCTGGGTTCAGGTGAAGATATGGAACAAGGGATATAACTGCTAATGTTAGATGGATCTTGGCAGAAAACAGAGAATACCAGAAAGATGTTTGCCTGTGCTCTATTGACTAAGCAAAGGTTTTCTATTGTGTAGCTCATGACAAGCTATAGACAACATCGCAGAGAACGAGTATTCCGTAATACTTAATTGTGCTCATGAGGAACCTGTACCTAGACTAAGAGGCAGTTGTTTGAACAGAACATGGGAACAATAAATGGTTTAAAACTAGGAAAAGTGTACACCAGGGTTGTAGTCTTTCACCATACTCATTCAATCTGTATGCTGAGCAAATAATTTGAAAAGCAAGATTATATGAAGAAAAATATGGTACAAAAGTTAGAGGAATACTCATTAATAATCTGTAATATGCAGATGATACAATTTTGCTTGCTGAAAGTGAAGAGGACTTACAATACTTAACTGATGAAGATCAAAGACCATAGCCTTTGGTATGGGTTAAATCTCAATGTAAAACAAAACAAAAATCCTCACTACTGGACCAATAAATAATATTAAGTTAAATGGAGAAAAGATGAAGTTGTCAAAGACTTCATTTTGCTCAGATCAGCCATCAACACTCACAGAAACAGCAGTCCAGAAATCTAATGACGTATTGCACTGAGCAAATCTGCTGCATAGGACATCTTTACAGAGTTTAAGAGCAAAGACATCGGTTTGAGGATTAAGGTGTGCCTGACCCAAGCCATGGTATTTTCAATAACTTCATAGGCATGCAAAAGTTGGACAATGAATAAAGAAGACTGTAGAAGAATTGATGCATTTGAGTTAAGGTGTTGGAGGAGAATATTAAAACTACCATGGATTGTCAAAAGAACAAACCAATCTTTGTTGGAAGAATTACAGCACAAATGTTGCTTAGAAACCACATGGTCAGACAAAGACATATTATCAGGAGGGACCAGTCCCTGGAAAAGGACATCATGCTTGGTAATGTGGAAGTTTGGATAAAAAGAAGAAGACCCCCAGCAAGATGGATTGGCGCAGTGGCAGGAGCAATGGGGCCGAGCATAACAATGATTGTGAAGTTGGCACCAGGACCAGGCAGTGTTTTGTTTGCTGTGCATAGGTCACTATGAGTTGGTACCCAATTTGATGGCACCTAACAACAACAACTCTTCCCAAGGAATAAAGAAATAGACAAAACATATTTGTTTAGTTGAAGTCTGACTAGGTGCCACATGAATAAATAAAATTCTAAATTTAAGTGAAAAAAAACTTTAGGTAAAGCTCATATCAGATATATCACTGAAATATATGAGGGCTTCACAAAGTTTATGAATAAGTTCATAGAAAAGCTAATGGAATTTTCCACAAACTTTTGAAGCCCCTTCATACACACACTCAATTTTGGAAGAGCTGTGCTCTTAATAGAATTATATTCTTTGTATGTAAGAGCATCCTGTGGTGATTTCTTGGGTAATTGTATGAAAAAATTATTTGTTTTGAAAAAAACGCATATTTTCACAGAAAGCATTTTTAAACTCTACATGCAGCTTTATTTCCAGCAAAGTGAAGATAACCAGATAGTACACACTGATTTACAGATTTTCATTCTCTTCAAAGTTACACCAATTTGGTTGTGATTTTTGGATTTTGAGTCTCTGGGCACATACATAACTACTGTTATGTTTCTGACTTTTTCTCTCTTCACCCTGTTCTACAAGCAAATGATCATTATTTAAAACAAAGGCAGGAGTCACTAAGTCCTTAAGGTAGTGTGTAGTTATAGTGCATTGTCTAGTTGGTTCCAACTATAGCAACCCCGTATAGGATTTCCAAGATTGGCTGGTGGATTTGAACTGCCAACCTTGTGGTTACTGATCCAGTGCTTATCCTATAGCACCACACTAGGGCTCTCAAATAGTGTAGGTATGTAAACTGGACTTTTTCTGAGGAAAACAAATAAAAAAAACCTGGAGGTGCTCATTGTAATGATAAGGGCAGTAATTAGTAGCTACACAGAATCTTCCTGTCTGTATGATGCTCTGAAAAAAAAGGACTAGACCAAGAATGAGAAGGCCAGAATCCTAGTCTGCATTCTACTTCTATTAACTGTGTAAATTGAGCAGAAGACCCATCTTCTCAGTTTTCGTCTCTAGAACATGTGTCCAGTATACATTGTCTTGTTTATGTAGCATGGTTATGATAATCCAATATACAGACACTCACTGGGAAATTCAAAGATAATGAGAATTGACCATTCTTTCTTGAAATGTTCTAGGAGCCATGGATCTAATTGTTTCTTGATGGGCATCTTATCTAAAGTTTATTTATTTGAAAGTTAAGTGAATCTTTCAGAAAATGTTTTGCTTGGACTTCTAGTGTGGTCCTTATGGACTGCAAGGCCGGTTTGAACCACAAGGTTGGTGCTTCACGCTTACCAGTTACTCCTTGGAAACCCGATACTGAGTCGCTATGAGTCACAACTGACTCAAAGGCACTTAATAGTAACAACAACATAAGAGAAAATGAAAAGTATTACTTCCACTCTAGAGGCTTAACTGACCTTTGGATGGTTTGGTGGTGGTGGTG